ACTTATAATTAGAAATTATGAGTCCAGGTTTCTTCACGATGTTTACCTTCACCGTATGTCAGTGTTGTCTAAATAATCATAAAAAGTACATATAACTTGGATAAACGGTGTCTTTATCAACTTTATTATTTTAGTTATTCATTTGAAATTCCAATGATAAGAACTGTCACATGAAAATGGAATCGGAAAATATATTTTTTAATAAAATTGCTAATGTTATTTTTTTTTTATTTTGCAGTAGTTTAAAGCATTCGAGAATTCACCGAAACAAAAACGATTGTTCTAGCCTTGCCTAAGAATATCTAACGTTATAAACGCAGATCTATGATTAGATATATGTTTAATCCATTTTAACATATATTTAACCAAAATATGATATATGTATTTATTTGTTACACGTTTTCTAATAAAACACTGTGGATATTTTCATGCTTATTTTTTGTACAATTGGCAGGTGAGGAATGCTTAGCTTAACTTTTAATTTATTAATTATGATAGAGTACCTGATAATCTTTGGAACCGCTGGTCGGATTGCCAAAATTCTTTCACTGATAGGTAGCTACAATGTTCTGGAGTGCTATAGACTATAAAACATCACGCTACGATCAAATGGAGTCAAAGAAAAGAGAAAAGAAAAATATAGGCCAACTCAATTGTTTCCGCTTTTTGTTTTTGCGGGGGAAGATTATTCAATGACTTTGGCCAGGACAGAGAGAGAGTAGGGCGTTAGAGGGAGTAGTGGGAGAAGTCATTTGAAGACTTTCTTCGTCAAAAATTTGGGGCGATTTAATTTGATCCATGCTTTAACAAAAAAACTATTTCAAATCACGTACCGATGGCTGATACTAGTATATTATAGAATCACAAATCAAATGTTTGCACCAAGAGTAACAAGATATCGTAAGTCATCGTATTCATAATTCATAATAGGTACGCTTTATCAATTAAGTAGTATTGTTTGGAACCTAAAATTATAGCTGTTGTTATCAGTTCCAAGGCTCAATAAGGCATGCACATGATCGCGTGGTTATTCTTGGATATTTAATCATATTTTCGAATATACTTCTTTTTAGTCCAGGTTTCCATTAAGTCCTATATCCATCCGGGACTGAGGAGGGAAAAAGCTAAAGGAATGTAATGATGAAACGAGGTAGTTTATAATAAGTAAGAGTCTGAAACTCAGTCTCGCCCATCCATGACAATGATGAATCCAAATAACAAAATACTTTGAAAGCGTGTATCTTGCATGCAAGTCTATATGATTATATAGTTTTTAATAAATATTTATGTAACAAATTCGAAAAGCCATTCCGATACAGACACGATAAACAGTGTTTTGACCGATTACAGGTTAAACTGATAGCAAAATTGTAAGTATTTGTGTTCCTTTCGAGTATGACTGAAACATTATTTCATCTTTTCGTATAGAATTTTAGTACCTACTTACCTAGTTTAAGTAGGTTGAACACTGTTTTAGTTGATATTAACTGCCGAGTAAAATCGTCCCGATAAAATACCAGTTAATAATTTACTCAAAGAAGAGTATTTGAAAACACGGTTTTAGATTAAAAAATGTAATCATGAATTAGTATAACGAATTGGTGGGGTCCAACTCCAAAGTACTAATTAATTACTGTTGTGATAATTATTACCTATATGTTGATAAAATTTAGAATATTACTTCCACTGGTATTATTAAAATTGCATTTAATGAGAATGAGTAGCTAAACTTAACACGAAACTTCTGGTCTAAAGTACGAGGTGAATTTTCTTTTCATTCCCAAACTTAGCTACTTAAAGCAAAACAACCTAAGAAGATCCGTAATAAATAAACGTTTTGTAAAACTAACAGGTAGTACAGGAAAAATATAAGTTTTTTTATTCCGCTGCGAAGTTGATAATTTTCGACCTCAAATAATTACACTCGTATCAAATCTGCTCTCGATAAGCACTTCGCTTCTCCGCGTAGCATCCTCAAACATTTCCAGCCGTCGACAGCAGCGCGCAGTGCCTCTTATAGGTACTTTTTCTATTTCCACATCTCAGTAATAAGGTTTAAAATACTGTTACATAATAATAATAAAAATATAAGCTCAAACAATTATAAAATTACTATCAGTAAAGAATAAACTTGTCTAAGACTAGTGATTATTTAGTACTACTAGTCTTGACTAGTACTTGACTAAGACTAGTGATTATATATTGTTATTATAGATGTATGTATATATTGTTATATAGATATTTGTTATATTACAATTTTGGATGAGTTATATTATTCTCTAAGTTTTTATCATCCAATCATGCATTAGATATGGTAAAATATGATAAAAGCAATAACTGATAATTATTATAATTCTTCTTTATTATTGTTAGAGAAAAATCCCGAATTATATTAAGACTCCTAAGTGGTGAGTACCAGTATCTTTAAGTACAATAATTGACAAGTAGGCTTTTCTCACTAGGTTTATATAGGTAGGTAGGTCGGTTTTGTTTTGTACTCAAAACACTCTATTTGTCATCCAACCTAGTTAAGCATTTAGTGTTTTATTGTTTTTAATAATAGGTTGAATTATATTCACGTAGGTAGACTTGAATATTCCGATAAACTATCCAGAAGTTGACATTAACTACTTACTAAACATTATTCTAAGATTGAGTTTATTTGTAGTAGACAGATTAGCTGATGGTAAGCAATCAGCGCCACCCATGGACACTCGTAAAACCGAAGAAGTTAGCTACTACACGTGTGCCGACCTCTTGTGGGTCATAAGGGATTGATGGGACAAGGATTGGGCCTCCGGTAACCTCATTCACACGGCGAACTACAACGTAGGTTCTAAGTGTTGCTTCACGCCAGTTTTTGTGAGGCCATGGTATCACTCCGGTCGTCGACCCATTTGTGCCGAAGCATGGTTCTCCCAAACTTGTGTCGTATAACAAACAAAGAAAATCATATCGAATATATTAAAGTTTCACATTATCAACATATAAGTGCCCACTGCTGAGCAAAAGTCTCTTCTCACACGGAGGAGGTTTGGTTTTTAAGGGTTTTAAAGCGCCACGCTTTCTCAAGGCGGATAGGCGATTTGAAACTTATAATTAGAAATTATAAGCCCAGGTTTCCTCACGGTGTTTTCCTTCGCCGTAAATCAGTGGTGTCTAAATAATCAAACAAAATACATATAACTCGGCAAAAGAATCAATGGTACTTGGCAGGTTTCAAATTAGCACCCTCATGCATGAGAAGCGAGTGCCTTAATCTCCGGGCCACCAGGACCAGAAGCAAAGTTTGCCTAGCAAATATTAAGAAATAATTAAAATGTAGATAAAATCTACGAGCATGTTAAATCACCATAAAACCCAGCGATAAAATTATAATCTATTAGAGAGTGCGTGTAATAAATGAATTACTACATAGAACATAAAATAAAGAAGCCTTAGCTCCAGATTCCATTTTATAAGAATATAATAATTGTTGATATTGATAGAATTCCGTAACCCGATAAACCCGGTAACAGCTGAGCAAAGCTGTCAAACTTTCTTCCAACTAGACAGACAAGGGAAATAAAAAATATATGCCGACCTTCCAGTGTTTTTTTCCTTATTTTGTTTCTCTATTCCGGAACGAATCGTCTCACAAGCCGGTTTTTGATAAACCAGTAACCAAATTCCCTTTTTTATTAAGCTTGAGCGCGATGAATGTAGGACATGGGCAGACTGGACCGGACCACTGCCTCACCGAAAACCGGTGTGAAACAACACTTACGTTGCCATTGTGTTTCGCCGTGTAAGCGACGTTACCAGAGGCCCAATCCCCCCTCCCATCCTCATTCCCCAAATTACCTACCCTTAAATCCCTAATAACCCACAAGAGGCCGACAACGCACTTATACTAACTAACTAAAAATTTTATTACTTTTCGCGTTAATACTCCTTTAATAATATGTTGTCCTATGGTATTGGGAGTGTCCATGGGTAGAGCCGGTTGCATACCATCATAATGCTTAAAAAAATTGAATTAATAATAACAATAAATATCACATCTTTAAAGAAATTCAAGCAATCATGTGGTTGACATATGAACAAAATTATTAATAACCGTATTACACAATGTTTTATTAACATTTCTAGTCCAATTGGATCATCCTACACACAGCGTAACTTTACACTGTTAGGTGATACCTAACAGTGTAAAGTCCAAAGTGATTCCTTTCAACCATTTTAATCTTGATTGTCGCATTCATACCACAATGTACATACGATTACGTTTTGTAGTCTGTGCATGTATGTATACGAGGTAGCCGTATCATTTAGTCCGTCTCACTGACTGACAGAAATACAGAATAGCTATGGGCGTGGCATATCGTTAACAAAACGGTATTCGCGAAATTGCACAACATTATGAAATGATATCAGTACAACGTTTATCGCAACTCAGACGCCGAAAAAAACTGTAGGTATTAATAAATTTAATAAATGGAAATGTTTAAATAATCTTCGTGAACTTGTTTACAACACTTTTCCAGCATTTCTTTTCCAGCTGTAGTTGAGTATCCATTGTTCAGCTCTAAGAATATATTTATATTTATGACGACAAAGTTCTCTGGTACACCGACCTGGACATATATCTAACATTCGTCGTGTTAAAAACCTAAATGTTATGGAAGATAGATTAAGAAAGCTCTAAAAACGACAATACTTAATCATTTTAATATTTTTCCAATGTATATCCAATATTCAATCATATAACAATAAAATTTACATAATCTTAACTATAGTTCCTAACAATATCAAAAAACAGTTGAAACTTAACAAAACCTTACGTAAACAGACCCTAAGTTGACTCGAACTCGAGTACTCGTTTTGTAAACAACAAATTATTATTATTAGCTACCAAAAATGCCGGTAACGATGATATGCTTGTTTTTATCTGTGTTTTCAACATATCTTCCTCCATAATACTTATAAGCCATTCAGCCATCGTCTATTATCGCACCGGTTTGTATTTCGAAGCGTCGCATTCCGCGCAACCGACGTGTTGAACCGCGTTGTGAATCTGTGAAAAATATTTAAAGTAAAATAAAATAAAATGGCGCCAGAAATTAAATACACAAAGGTTTGTACCTATTCTATTTTCAATATTCTTTTAATAAATAGATTACGTTCGTTTTTTCTGAATTTAAATTTGAACGTGTTCTATTGTGTTCTATTGTAATGCATTACCTTACATTTCAAGGCCATTTGACTCGTAAATGTTTGATTCGTGTAAATATTTCATTTGCGAATACTTAGTTTAAGTTAGAATTAATAAAATTGTATGATTTTAATGAATAAATAATTAAGCTGACGAGAGCTGAGACAACACTTTTATTAAATAATATTTAAATAAAAAAAACGCGAACTTAATTGTTTTTTGAATTATAGATAGTAACTATAAAATATTTAGATCTGGATATTAAAATCAATTTAAAATTTCACGTATTTCTAAAAATTTCTTCTTAATTCCTTGGCTTTGTTCATGCCCATATTTTTCTAACATTCTTTATGAACGACACGGTTCCCTTCTCACAAAATATGAAGGAGATTAGACTATTTTGACTGCAAAATTATTTTATTAAAAATAACACCTCGTACCAGAGTACCAGATAGTTATCAGAGCTATCAGCCGTACAATATCATACAGAATCAGAGAGTACTTATAGTAATTTATCACTAGGCCACCGCTAGCCGGTACCTGATAGTAGTAAGTATATTTTGAACACCAAAAGATTAATAATAATCTTGTAAAATAGAATCTGGTATTGGGTGCATAGTCCATCTATCTTTACGATATACCTTTATTCACATATTTATTTAATTTATATATGTATTAAGGCATATAGTTTATAGGACATTGGGCATAAGATATTACTATGGGCTTCATAATATATGACTAATAAAAACTGGATGCTACATAAACTTAACCTCCGTGCAAACCTACCTTTGGAAATAATTTGGGACTTCAATAATACTTACAAACCATACAAATAATAATCGTTTACTTACTTTTTTACTTAACACCAAATTATTTTTATTTTTTTGCAAAAATAATTGTGTCATGTCGAATATAGATAAATATGATTATAATTGTAATCTTTGGATACGATCATAACGAAATATTATATTTTTTCTAGTTGTTCATTAACAACGAATGGGTGGACGCTAAGAGTGGTAAAACCTTCGAGACATACAACCCTCATGATGGATCCGTTATCGCCAGAGTCGCTGAGGGAGATAAGGTATGGCTTGTGTTGCACGGTTTCTGTCAAAAATCACCATGAATATGGCAATGGAGTTGAACTTGATTTGAAAGTAAAGTAATCTTATTATTTTTTTCTTTAATGTTTCCAGGCAGACATAGACTTGGCAGTAGCAGCAGCCAAGCGTGCATTCCACCGCAACTCAGAATGGCGTTTGATGGACGCATCAAAACGTGGAGAAATTCTCCGCAAGTTTTCTGATCTGATAGAAAGGGACCAAACATACCTCGCAGAGCTTGAATCCTACAACAATGGCATGGTACTAAACCACGCCAAAACATTTATCGGTGGAGCTTTGAGTACCGTCAGATACCTCGCAAGCTGTGCTGACAAAGTCACAGGAGAAACGATACCTTCAGGTAAGAATTCAATATAATATATCACATACATCTCTGTCTTAATATTTTGACCTCTAACTTCTATAAGTATATAGAAGAAGTAGTATAACTACTACATGTTGCTTCGATTGTTAATAGATGGCGAAGTGTTCTCATACACCCTGAGACAACCCATCGGCGTGTGCGGTTTAATCCTACCATGGAATGGTCCGATCTTCATCTTTGTTAGCAAAGTATGCACAGCTCTTGCTGCAGGTAAGTCTAATTCGACATATTATTAATATTAGTAAACTCCAAGATAATTCAATTGATGATTTTGAAGAGCCAAAACGTATTCTAACTAATACTTTCTCACAAATATTCAGGTTGCACCGTGGTGGTGAAGCCAGCAGAACAGACTCCACTAACAGCACTTGCACTTGCGGCATTATTAGCTGAGGCTGGTCTCCCCAAGGGAGTGCTGAATGTTGTCAACGGTTTTGGACCTGGAGCTGGTAGCAGCCTTAGTCACCACAGCGACGTCGCTAAGGTTTCTTTCACTGGCTCTGTGGAGGTAAGTCCTACTATAATTAAAATGAAATATAAAGGCTTGTGAACGTACTACCTACAGCAATGGTATTAATGAAATACATTTTTCCCACAGGTTGGAAAACTGATCCAACAGGCATCTGGTACCAGTAATTTGAAGAGGGTCACTCTCGAACTTGGTGGAAAGAGTCCTCTTATCATCATGAACGACGCTGATTGTAGGTTTTCAAAATATTTTAAAGTCGTCAATGCTCATTTTTATATCACGACGCAGGTGCCTAACCTAAAATATTTCTATTTTCAGTAAACGTTGCTGTTCCCTACGCTGCTAATGCAGTCTTCTTCCATCAAGGGCAAATCTGCATCGCAGCTTCCCGTTTGTTCGTACAATCTGGCATCTATGATAAGTTTGTTGAAGCTGCTGTTAAATATGCGCAAAGCATTAAAGTTGGAAACCCAGCAGACCCTACGACACAGAACGGTCCTCAGGTGATCTAAGAAGAATTACTAGATGACTCAACTATCACAAAAAGAGAAAACTTGGTTGTTTCTGACAAAATTTTGATTTTGCAGATTGACGAGACCATGATGAACAAAGTTTTGGGATACATCGAGAAGGGAAAAAAAGAAGGCGCGAAGTTACTCTGCGGTGGTAACAGAATCGGTACCTCTGGTTACTACATCCAACCCGCTGTCTTCGTTAACGTCACTGACGACATGACCATTGCAAAAGAGGAGGTAATAAAAAAAATCAAAATTACCAATAATTATGAGTGATATTTTAGATTTAGGTCAAAATAGTGTAGTTATTAAAATTATACGTATTTTTCAGATCTTTGGTCCAGTGCAAAGTATTCTGAAGTTTGACACCTTAGAGGAAGCTATCGACCGAGCTAACGCTACAAACTACGGATTAGCAGCTGGAATATTCACAACCGATCTTAACAATGCTCTACAATTCTCCAAACACGTTGAGGCTGGAACTGTTTGGTAAGACATATACTTGATGTACTGATTTACAATTTCTTAGATTGCAACAACCAATTTATTTACATCTGCTTCAATAAAAAGAATTATATTAACTTTCAACAAGGCCTAATCTCGATCAGGTTGTCTTCATTCATGTACAAGACAATATTCATTATCTTTGAATGTATGTTCTGCTATTCAATAAAGTAATTTATGTTAGTTACAATTGACTTAATTAAGTACTGTTAATTCCAACAGGGTCAACACATATCTGCATTTCACACCACAACAGCCATTCGGAGGTTTCAAAGAATCTGGAATTGGTCGTGAAAAGTAAGTATTATGCGTTTTCTGAAAACATCTCTTCTCCTCTTAGTTCTCCAATTAGGTAAGAGTCTGTCACAAATCTTAAGCAAAATTGTCAATACTACATGTCGTATGCATTTGGCATCGACGTATAAGATTAGATAGATAGGATATAATTTTACATGTAATGTTAAAAATAAGACTTTGACAAAACCAAAGAAGTTTTATTTCACAAATTTTTTGCTCGCCGCTCATCCAACATTTTTGATTTAATATCATCTCTACCGTAAATTGTTCCAAATCCAACATTATGGGCCAAAATTAATTACTTATCATAAAAACGTTTTGCTGTTCCATTATTTTTCATATTTTAATCTAAATTTTATTTCGTCTTACAGTGGTATGGATTCACTGCTGGCTTACACCGAGGTGAAAACTGTCGCCGTCGCCTTACCAAAGAAAGTCTGAAGCAATGTATTTTATGTTGCAAGTAATTAGTTGTAAGACTCACAAAATAGATTAATATCATGTATTCAAATTATGTCTGTGTTGTATAAGAAATGTTATGCGTTATAAAATAAACGTTTAATGAAACATTGATTTATTGTTTTTATTTACTTTGAATATAATCCCTATAATTTCCCCTATTTGAAATATTCCCACGAAATATAAACAAATAGGTACTTACCTAGACAATAAACAAACAACGAACAATCACCTGTACATGTCAATATATAAGTAAACCTTGTTAGTAATTGCAAGATTGCTCATAGTCAAAGTCGTTAATATCAATTAGACCCTTACAGGTACTTTTGAACATCAAACAAAGCATAAAGATAAAAATTTACAGTTCATCGGTCAGTTCTCTTTGTGTATTTTGCTATTTGCCTGTTCCAAAGTGTAGAATGTAGATTCCAATGGAGAAGAGCGAGCAAGAAACTCCATGGTTATTCTTTTTAAATCACTTTCACATACATATTATTTGGTACATTATTTGGTTAGTTCGATTCTGTGAACACACTGCAACACTCATTTATTCAAAGAAACAGAAATGCTGCTCACGCTTTTTACCTATATGATTAAGTGTTGCTGGCATTTAATTTTGTGATGTGATTAAAATAAGTTGTTTTCTTTGTTTTCTTGTGCTTCTCTCTTTTTATTCCTCAACTACCTAAGATCACGCGTAAAATTTAGATCATCAATGTGCTCTGATATTTGCTACCGTACGTTGATATACTTCAAAAAAGTCTACTATTGATTTTTGTAGTGCAATGTGCTCAGCATCTATGCTTTTGTTTTCTAAAATGATAAGCTCCTTATCATCTAGCTTAAAATCTATATTTTTGATTTTCCTTTCATTTGAAGGTATGGATAAGTCATATGGTATGATGACCTTGGCCAGTACTTGCAATAAAACTCTATCTATAACGTAACGTACCTATTGTATTTGCATAGATATTTATTAAAAACCGGTTTTGTATTTTCGGCTGTATTTGAAGTGTGTTGTTTAAAAAAAACTTTGACAGCGCTGTTTGATGTAGCTGTTTAAGTAAAACCGGTTGTATGTAGGTCGTAGGTTACATGTGAATTGTAAGTTCGGTCCCCGCACGGAACTATATCTATGGGTGATCGACAAATTATTGTTCAGGGTTCAAGTGCCAATAGACCATGTACGGGGCCCTATAGGGCTGCTGATGTTCAGCCGAGGTTGCGCAGTAAGGCACCGCGGCCTCAGCCTAGGGGAAAAAGATCGGGGAGGTGTTTATTAAGTAAGAGTCTGATACTCCCTCTCACCCCACCCCGGGAGGATCTTTTGACGATTTTACCCTCACATAAGATGTGTCTATATGTGATATGTCCATATGTGTGATGAAGTATGAATTCAGTATGTCTAGAGTCTATAGAACTTTTGGTGTGTAAGCGAATGAGGCCCTTAACTGTGTCAGATGACGCTTAAACGAGCCAAACAGCCAATAGGTACTATACCAAGGCAGTAGGTATTATCAAAGACACTAGAAATTAATACGAATATAACAAGATTAAATTACTTCAGTGGGTATCTGTACATCTGAACAACTATTATGTCAGCAGTATTACGATTTTAGAGTAAGCTAAACAATCTATACCTACATACCCTACACAATTATGTAGGGTACCTACACAATTAACTATGTACCTAAATTAATACTAATTTTATGACATTATATTTTCCATGTTTCTATCACCACGACGGTGGTATAGGGTATATAGGCATTTATTTTTATTACGAAGTGCCAATTTTATATACGAAGATACCGCTAAAGCCAGTTAGCAAAGATTATACTTACAAACCGACGAGAGGCATTTCAATCTCATGCCCATTAACCAGGAATAGGACCATATACCAATAAATTTCCTGGCTCCATCTATTTAGTACTAAGTATAAAAATTATGATAATATAATACATAATATAGGTATATGTATACCCCCAATATTACTTAAGCAAATGCGAATGTATTTCAGCGCTTTTGTCATTCTCATTATTGGAAATACATAAGTGTAACTTCTGATACATAGGACCCACTGAGTCTTTAGTAGATTGTCGTGGTGCTTGGTACCTGTTCTTCTCCGAGATGTTCAGTCTCTTCGTACTTTTAAAGTTGAAATCATACTGTCATTCTGCATTTCATTCACCAACGAAATTGTAAACTGTTTTGCTTTGCTCTACTTTAATTAGTATTTAATTATCAACTAATTTATTTAGATAGATCCAAATCCCTTTTCATAATGCTCTTGGAATATGAACTGACTGCTGAATTCAGCATTTCTGACTTCATGTTTTCATGGTCGTATCTACTGTATTATATGTATAATCCTGCCTTATAGGAATTGTGGTAAAAAATATTTATTCATACGCGAATATACTTATGTATATTCGCGCATTTTGAGTGAACAGCTCTTCGACAACTCCTTATCCATGACGCCATATGCTCACCATCACACACGTACCCGCCGCGCTATTGGTTACTACAGCCCTGTAACTGACGAAACACACACACAAGGGAAAGCTTATTGCTATGCTGTGCAAAAAGTTCTTAATAACTACTTAACGTATGGGAATTCATATAAGAAGTTATTATAATATCATGAAAATGCATCCATACTTTAAAGTATTACGGCAATTTAAAAAATAAGTATTAATATTTAACTGTGTAACGTGTAACGCATATCGATTTAGTAACAGGTAAATAAGTACTGGTAGTATGCTCAAAGTCCATTTAATTTTGTAGCTAGTTAGATACAGATGACGAGAAAATGTGAGGTGACAAGTTATTGAGAATGTAATTACAATTTTAAGAATATTGCACAATATTTATGTACAATTTCAGAATTATACTTATCGCAACACAGATACTCATATTAAATTGATCACATTTATTTTCATTTCGAGTTTAAAAATGCTGAGTCATGGTGACATTCACAATGAGAATAAATCAAGAGAATTTGTACTAATTTCATCAGCCAGCTAGAATGAAATAAAATGTTCCTATAAAACGGTACCTCGAAGGAAAGCTCAGATAATTTAAATATGAATGCACCAATTTAACTATAAATCCAATTATAACCTTCGATGATTTCAAGGTTTCAAGTCCAGCAACGTACTTGTAACTCCTTTGAAAATTAGACAGCACCAATATTTAAATTAAAATGTTACCGTTACATTAACAGTTATATGACATTGTAGTTAATATTATCAAATCGTCGTTTTGTAAGCATTAAACTTTGTATAATCATGATACTAGTGTATACAAACAGATATAGTAACATGGTAATGTACGGAAGCCTTCTGCAACGACCGCAAACCGACTCTTTTTGAATGTATGAAGCGAACATCGCTACATTTGAAAGGCTTTTACGTTTTCAGATTATCTTTAAGCAAGGATACCAGTTGGTTTTATGGGATGCAAAAGTAAGGTGACTTCTGATTACGTTCGCTCCATCACAACATCCTATTTAGACCGTTTTTAGCACAGTTGAGATAGATTCAGCAAAACGCTCTCATCCGCATACCCGGTTAGAAAAAAGGTACATTACAAAGGTTATAAAAAAAAAAAACACCACGTGTGAAGACGGCTGACTCGGTACACATAAACTATCGGCCGTGCACTCGGCGCTATGTTTATTTATACGTACCGAGTACTCGACCGAAAGCACTGTCTCGCCGGTTTGTTCGGTACTCTTGATCAAGGCATTACTGACTTAAAACCATGCCATCTCCTGAACCAGGCCGGGGCTGACAATATGCCTCCTGGCTTTAGTATCCAAATGATGAAAACGAAACTATATACTGATAGAAATAATTTTGACGATTGTATAGCGTTAGCTTATTCCCCTTTTCAGTTCTATAGCGATCAAGTGTCTGCATTATTTGCGGGACTCCGAAAAAAATCCTTTTTTTTCAACATAGACTAAATTAGATGTCAACTAAAGTCCCCCAAACCCCCACATTCGCCATACTGCTTACGTAATACTTGAACGACCCCCACACAGATTAGCCGCTGGGTGGCATGTTCCCAACGATAATATGGTCTCACGAAATGCACAATATTATGTCACTTATTAATTCAGAATAATATTTAATTGTCGCAATGCAGAAATTCGGATTTAAAAAAATACTAGTCATGATGACACACTCTAGTACACTCTCTTATCACACAAAAATTACGTGTGATAAGAGTAAGGAAATGCTGGAGAAAATTTCAGGAATTTTCATTTTAGTACTTCAATCTTGGCCTGATATAACCTTGAAAGCTCGATAATGGTAGCTATGGTTGATCGCTTTCTACTCGTAAAAAAAAGTTTTAATAAACAATGTTTACTCAACTACTAAATAGCTACTATTACTTCCCCAAAATAATCAAATCAAAATAATCTTAAGTTGTGTAAACATCGAGCTATTATCGAGATATGAATGAATACAAAAATACATTCGTAACGATGACAGTGCATGTTTTTATCTATATTTTGTACATATAACCATGAGTGATCTAATGCTGGTTCGTATTCCAGAACTTTGGGTCCATCTTGACAGTCGCGTCGCGCGTTGTGTTTTTTGTGATTGTAATAAGTATAAATAGTTAAACTTAAAATGGCCCCAGAAATTAAATACACAAAGGTTTGTTGATCTTTTAATTTTTGTTATTTGTTTATGTGTTTTCTTAACGATATTATAATGTTAAGATACATTTTTAAGGCACGAAGACGACATATCAAAAAAAAAATTTTTACATTGAAACTATTTTTTTTTTATATTGCTTGTTGTTCAGAGTCTTAATAAGAAGTGATAAGAAGAATAACTTCTTTAAGAAGTTCTTCTCCAAGAATTCTATTTTTTTTGGTCTAAGTACATAATTAATTATTGCAGGAAATGAAATCCTTAAAGTTTGTTTATTTTAAATTAATTTCATGTTTTGTGCATATCAACAGTAGCATTCATTTCAAACTTTGAAGTCACAACAAAAAGTATTATAAATCTGGAAGTACGGCAGTGCCCCAGCCAAGTCTCATGCAGAACGGGCAAGGCCGCACCGCACTATTCTTTTATTAATTCGCGTTTTGAGGCTAAACTTAATGTTTTCTCATTTTAAATCAGAATAACTATTCAGAGGACTGACATTATTACTTGAATTTGAGGCATATAGTGTTGATTGTAATGATTAAACTACAAATTGCCATTAACATTTTGTTATTTATCCAAAAGCCTATAATTTTTCACGTTTTATAGGAAAATACAAATCAAAACTAATTAACTTAAATTGGAAGTTACTGATTGGTGATTTTCCGTACTAAATTATATATTTATCTAAGAATGTCTAATATATTTAAAAGTGAAGTCTATGGGTATTATAATAATTCGGTGTAATTCGATGATTTTCCACCCTCTAAATAAAAGTTAGTTTATCGTTTTAATTTTATTTTGTATTGAAACGAATAAAAAGATTGCTAATGTTATATCAGGAATGTAAGGGATCACCCTAACTTTATTTCTTCCGAATTTTGTTAGCCTCTTAAAGTCACCTTCTAAGTGTGGGAGAGCCATGCTTCGGTACGAATGGGTCGGCTCGACCGGAGTGATACCACGGCCTCACAGAAAACCGGCCTGAAACAACCACAGCGTTGTGTTTCGCCGTGTGAGTGAGGTTACCGTAGGCCCAATCCTTCCCCTTCCCTAATCCATACATCTCGAAATCCGTAATCCCCAAAAAGTCGGCAACGCACTCGTAACTTTTCTGTTGTTGCGGGTGTCCATAGGTGGCGCTGAATGCTTACCATCATGTATTCGAATGCTCGTTTGCCGACCTATCACATAAAGAAGTAAAAAAAAGTATAAGTAAGTTAAGTATGAGAATTAGGGATTATAAAATAAATATGTTATATTACATAAAATTATTTTTATTTCCAGTTGTTCATTGACAACGAATGGGTGGACGCAAAGAGTGGTAAAACCTTCGAGACTTACAACCCTCATGATGGATCCGTCATCGCCAGAGTCGCTGAGGGAGATAAGGTACAGTTCCGTTCGCTGCTGGATATAACTAGGTCTCCAATAGCTATGTAGCATACAAATAAGCCCAATCTTTATGATGTTCATATACAACCACTGTTAGCCTTTAAATGCTCTACAATGTGTTCGCCTAAGCGCGATGTCAATTTGCCAACTTATTTCAAATTGACTTTAAACATTGCTCCATATCCAGTTCCCTGTTTTCTCCAAGTTGTTTCATTTTACCCCAGATATAATAATACTCTTTATTGTAATATTATTAATCAGCTTGAAGAGAAAACTTGTAAAATTCATCTTTACTATGGTTGTGTGTGTACATCAGCCTGATGTTCTTGATAACTTCTTGATCTCCGCTCGATCGAGGAGGGCGGCAATATTTTCATGACTATAGTCAGGAAAGAATTAAAAAAAACATTTTCATATTTCTCTCCCTCTTATTTTTTCCAGGAAGATGTAGATTTAGCAGTAGCAGCAGCAAAGCGTGCATTCCACCGCAACTCTGAGTGGCGCCAGATGGATGCCTCCAAACGAGGGGAAATACTTTACAAATTTTCTGAACTCGTAGAAAGGGACCAGAAGTACCTTGCTGAACTTGAATCTTACAACAATGGTACAGTGCTTAAATTCGCCTACGGAATTGTTTCCGGAGCCAAGAACACTATCAGGTACTTTGCATCTTGCGCTGATAAAGTAACAGGAGAGACCATCCCCTCGGGTAAGATAACAACACACATTTGCTAAAGTATTGTATTTACATCAAGTTTTCGAGTTTGCTAAGTTTCTACATTTGTCTACAGATGGTGAAGTTTTCTCTTACACCCTGAGACAACCTGTGGGCGTGTGCGCTTTAATTCTGCCATGGAATGCCCCAATTGCTATGTTCCTTAGCAAAGTTTGCACAGCTCTTGCTGCAGGTGAGTCTTATTTAATTATGTTTACTACTATTGCTGAACATGGACAAGACGAAAACCATGTCTAATGTCCAGGTTGCACCTGTACCGGTCATTGTTGGGAACGACATCCTTGAAGTTGTTGACCATTACACATACCTTGGTCAGATCATTCAGCTAGGTAGGTCCAACTTCGAGAAAGAGGTCGCCCGAAGAATCCAACTCGGATGGGCGGCGTTCGGGAAGTTACACTTCTCATCGAAAATCCCACAGTGCCTAAGACCAGGATGTTTAACCAGTGTGTGTTGCCGGTGATGACGTATGGTACTGAGACATGGTCCTTAACTTCTGGCCTTCTTTCTAAACTCAGCGTCGCTTAGCGCGCGATGGAGCGGGCTTTGCTCGGGGTCTCTTTGCGCGACAAAATCCGAAATGTGGAAATTCGCCAAAGAACCAAAGTCACCGATATAGCTCGTAAAATCTCAGGCTAAAGTGGCAATGGGCAGGCCACGTCGCTCGAAAGACGGACGGTCGATGGGCCCGAAATTCCTAGAGTGGCGACCAAGAACCGGAAAACGTAGTGTGGGCAGGCCTCCCGCTAGGTGAAGCGACGACATCGTCAGAGTCCGGGGAGCCAATGGATGCAGGTGGCAACTTGTCGTTCGACGTGGAGAGCTAAGGGGGAGGCCTTTGTCCAGCAGTGGACGTCTTCCGGCTGATGATGATGATGATAATGACTACTATTGCATACCGACAGTTAGATTGGAATTTAAATAAAATATTTTTATACTTCTTCTCAGGTTGTACCGTGGTGGTTAAGCCAGCGGAGCAAACCCCACTAACAGCACTCGTGCTTGCGGCACTTCTAGCCGAAGCTGGCCTTCCCAAGGGAGTAGTTAATGTCATCAATGGTTTTGGACCTGGTGCCGGTACCAGCCTCACTCACCACAGAGATGTTGCTAAAGTGTCTTTCACTGGCTCTGTCGAGGTAAGTCCAACAGAAAATAAATTAAAATCTAGAAGTTGTTCCTGCAGTAATCGCAATAATAAACATTTTGTCCATAGGTCGGAAAACTGATTCAGCAGGCGTCGGGTGCCAGTAACTTGAAGAGGGTCACTCTCGAACTTGGTGGAAAGAGCCCTCTTATCATCATGAACGACGCTGACTGTAAGTTTTCATTTTTCGATAAGGTGGTTTTAAATGCAAAATGTGCTAATATTTATTTGTAGAGCAATTAATAATGGGATCGCTCGGTAAAACGCACAGAAGAATCACCTGATGGTAAGCAATCGGCGGCACGCATCGACGCTAGCAATTTTAAAGTAGTGCACAAGTGCGTTGCCGTCCTTTTCCGGATTAGGAGATTTTGGGATTAGAGATGGAGAGAGGAACTGGACCTTCGGCTACTAACTGACCCGACGAAACACTACGCAGTCGTTTTTTCACGCTGGTATTTCAAGGACATGGTATCATCATTGGTGCCGAAGCATAGCTCTCCCACTCTTATACCTTTTTTTATTTTCAGTGAATGTTGCTGTTCCCTATGCCGGTAATTCGGTATTCTCCCTTCAAGGACAAATGTGCATAGCAGCGTCCCGTTTATACGTACAATCTGGCATCTATGACAAATTCGTTGAAGCTGCCGTTAAGCACGCACAAAGCATCAAAGTTGGAGACCCAACAGATGCCACCTCACAGAATGGACCTCAGGTAAATAAAGATTGGTACCTAGTAATGGCACGGCCATTTTTAACCGACCCGAAAACCTGAGTACATGAGTAACGAGGAAGTTCATTGTCTTTACATGATAATGTTTTTGTATATAATATATATAATGTGTTCAGTGACAAACGATCTTTGTAATTGGCTTGATATCTTCTAGATTGACGAGACCATGATGAACAAAGTTTTGGGATACATCGAAAAGGGAAAAAAGGAAGGTGCTAAATTAATGTGTGGTGGTAACAGAATCGGTTCATCTGGTTACTACATTCAGCCTGCTGTATTCGCTAACGTCACTGATAACATGACCATCGCAAAGGAGGAGGTAAAAAAATATCCAAACTACCAACTATTATTGATATTTTGTTTTAGGTCAATCTTAAAATTTATAATATTTTTCTTCAGATCTTTGGCCCAGTACAAAGTATTCTGAAGTTTGACACTTTGGAGGAAGCTATTGACCGAGCTAACTCTACAAACTACGGATTAGCAGCTGGAGTATTCACAACCGATCTTAACAATGCTCTACAATTCTCCAAACACGTTGAAGCTGGCATTGTTTGGTAAGACTACACATTCGTTTCTTACCTTTATAGACCTTAATCGTTATATTTCTATTAAAATCCACTTGATTGTCTAGAATTAAGTAGGTTACGGCCTATTAGTTTATAAGTACTTAATAATTAATTATCCTTAGACATTGTTGTAATATTCAGTGAGGCATTTTTTATTAACTACCTACTACACCAAATTGGTGATATCGAAAAAAAATTAAATTAATTAAATAAATGTTATTTTTACAGGGTTAACACATATCTGCACTTCACACCACAGCAGCCATTCGGAGGATTCAAAGAATCTGGAATTGGTCGTGAGAAGTAAGTTTTAAAAGTCATCTAACATTTACAAGTTCATTGTAACCTAGTACGGGGCACGGATTCAAAAAATGATTTGTTACTAGAAGGTCAAATGATACGATCCAATAAGTTTTGCCATTATCTCCCATAGTGCATTAGTGGACTATTAAGTACCAAGTAGTCCCAACGTACTAGGAGAGTCACTAACTATTGATGACGTATAAATAATTAAGGTTTCATTTTTTATTCTTCCATATTTTTTATACATATTTGGTAGGTATCTACTAATTGTGTTTTTTTTTAATTTTCAGTGGTTTAGACTCATTACTTGCTTACACCGAGGTGAAGACTGTCGCCGTAAGTTTACCAAAGAAAGTCTAAAGTTGTATACATTGTTGTTCCTTTTAAGAGTCACAAGAAAGGTATACCTAGTATTGAAGCTTATGAAATTATATTGTTATAATTACTTACTAATATTTTTTTTATTTTTAAAATAAATGTTACGTTATGAAATGTTTATAAGTTTTTTTTATTTCCCAGTTGATCGCACAAACGACATCAATATATGTGTAAATGTAAACTTTAATAATTTTTTTATTAGTTTATAATGAGTACCTTATTTGTCAGGGGAAATCATAAATAATACTAAAGGACATAAATATACTGAGGAAGGGAGTGTCAGAATCTTCCCAACTTCCTTCTCCTGTAGTGGTCCCCAGCCGCAATGCCTTATTGCGCTTGCCGTACAACCCCGGCTGGCATCCTTTTTTTTTGTCAAGAGAAAATCATCAAATGACATCCCGCCCAGGGTAAGGCGAAAGAGAATGTCAGACTCTTATTGACTAAAAACCCCCCCGTTCCTTCTCCTGTTTTAGGTCGAGTCCTCGGTGCCACAATGCACTTACCCCGAACCCCGCCCGGCCAACCTCCTAAAAACACAACACAATAATGAAAGTTGTTGTAGAACACCTTCATACATCCTTATGTTATACGTTGTAGAGTGATAGGTGAAATAAACATCGTAGGTTTGAAACTTTGAAGCCACTCAGGGTCCAAATTTAATTATTAAATCACGTTTAGGTGATTTTCTAAGAAACTCGACTAAAAAGTTCTTTTGCCCATGTAAACTGTTGAACAACACTAATAACAAATGTCAATGTCAATTAACTGTCAATGAAACAAGTAAACAAAGTTGTTTGGGGCAATCTACTTGGTATTTCATTCAATAATTTAATTGAATACAATCAGCAGTAGTGGTAACTAGTGGTCTAATTTAGTTCTTTAGTGCTTTAAGATATTTTGTCAAGTTTCAATTGAGTTAAAATAACTTTTCAAATATTCATAGTGTTTAAAAATGGAGGAAAACCATGTGAATAATACGGCGTTGAATTTTGATAATGGCCAAGTAAGTTGTTTATCTTAGTAATCTAAGTAATGAGAATAAATCTATATTGCTAACAAACTTATCTTTATTAAATGCGTATATTGGCACAAATAAAGTCCAAAGAAGTACTTTTTTTTGCCAACTTTAACACAATTTTATATACGAAAGTAGGTACCTAAAAAGATTTTCACTTCTTGCATGCTTGGCTTAAATATTCAATTAAAAAAGTTACTAATAATTTAACGATTAAATAACATTGTTTAGATAGAACATCAGATTTTTTGTAGGTAGTATTAATTGTAATAATTATAATAATTGCCTACTTTAGCAGCCTAGGTAACTAGTTTTCTTTGTAATAAATAATTAATGGAACACTTATATTAAAATTATGTAGTGCCTTTCTAACGACGGTTCTTTAGAATTCATGCAGAAATACAACTTAATTTGCTGTAAAAATAAACATCAATTCCTTTCCATCAAATCCTACTAAACTAAGAAGGTAACTTGTTTCATAAATCTGCTGTGGGTAACAAAGCAAACAATATTTCTATCAGAAATCTGATATTGACCAATTATATGGTATAATGAATATAATATCAAGTACATAAATACTGTAAAGGTGAGGTGTAAGAACTGTATAAAAAGTAAAAAGTATAACAAAACCGAAGAAATATCAAATGTAACCGTGCGGAAAAAACCAACTTCTCTGGATGTGACATTACGCCAAACTCCAGCAAAAAACAGTACGATGCTATCTGATTCTCATGTTCTTACGGATTGCGAATTATCGTACGAATCATTTAATACACCAAATAATTTACTATCAAGAAACATGGATTGTTCGGCATCCGATCTAAAGTCAATCTCGGAAATGAAGGATACAATAGTCCAACTTACTAACAAACTTGAGAGCAGCGACAATAAGTTAGGAAACATATTATTAGAAAATTCTGAACTACGTAAACACATAGAAAAGTTAACTTCAGAAAATAAAGCCCTTAAATCTGTGTGTAATTCAAATCCTGGTATAAACCACAATGACAACAATCATAAAACCAACCCGCAAAAACCGAATTGTTCCTCATCTCCTGAGTTACCATGTAATGTACCACATCAGAAAACAACACCTAATCCATTGATTTCATTAAACACCGGAAACACCGTTTCTAACAATATTCAACTACAAGTACTGCAGCACGAAATTCTCAATCTACACCAGAAATTGAAACATGCATGCCAAGATATTACAGAGCTTACAAAACAAATAGAAAACCTTAAACAATCATTAGATTGCAAAACGGCAGCAGCGTCACATCAGCATAGTTCACAAATAACTGAACAAGTTAAGAAAAGGATACACATATTTGGTAGTCAGCAGTGTGTTGGACTGGCTACATCAATATGGCGCTCGAGACTTGGATCGCAATATGAAAAATATGAAGTAATTGCCCAAACGAAGTCAAACGCGTTTAGTTGTCACATAATAAGGGACTGTTTAAGGGCTAAAATACAAAAACACGATAAAATAATAATCTGTGTAGGTGAGAATGATCACAACATTAAATTAGTTGTATCACAATTAAAAACAGTGCTGAATAAGTTTAAAGACAATATGATTTTTGTATTAAATGTTGATAAAAACTATTACTGTAACACTTCTGAACTTAGTTATTACTTAGAAAATGTGTGTAATCAATACAAAACCTGTAAATTCGTTAAAAATGTGGCAAAATTTTCGGAAGTTACTAAATGTATAAACTATTATTTAGATTGGGATTATTATGACGAAAACTTTTTGAACTTTAGCGAGGTAAGAAAACGGATGGTAGGTAATAAACCAAGTAATTACTTTGTAAACGGATCAATCTCGCGTTATTCCTCCCGTCAACAAGACCAAACAACACGTCAGCAACAACAACAGCTTGAAGCAGCTGCGACTGGTACACCAAAAAAAGGTACAATCCCTCATTACTTCCCGAAATTAAATAAAATTAATACTACGTTTTTTCGAGTCTAATCTAAATTCTTCTACACCAAAACAATTCAGAATTCTTCATCAAAATATTGCAAGTTTCTTGTCCAAACGTGAGCTGTTAGAGTTAACCATTCGTGAATTACAAGAGTCAGACGATAAACCAGATGTTATATGTCTTACTGAAACATTTATAAAATCAGGTAATGAACATTATTTAAGAATAAGCGACTATGAATCTGCCTCGAGTTATTGCAGAGAAAAACAAAGAGGCGAGAAAAACAAGAGTGGAATTATTTTCAAAGATCTCACCTTCATTAAAATCTATGCCATACAAAACGTATTTGAAGTATGCGGCGTGGAGTTAACTTCCTATGATTTAATAATTATTTGTATTTATAGGACACCTTTGTCAGACCCCATAGAATTTTTAAACAAACTAAATAACCTTTTAGATAATCTAAGCAATAAATACAAGAAAAAAAGTATAGTGATAACAGGCGATTTTAACATAAACACTTTAAAACCAAGCTATGTAACGAATTCATTTATAGATTTGTCGTATAATTACAATCTCAAAATTCATATAAACTCACCTACGCGCAAATCGTCTTGCATAGATCATGTGTTGAGTAATATTCCAAACGCGGTTGCTAAAGTGTTACCGCTACATCTATCGGATCATGAGACTGCACAGATGCTTAGTTTTCCAATACAGCAAACAATGTTAAAAGTTACAACATATCATATATTTAAAAGAGACTTTAATATTGAATACGTAAACAAATTTCGGGAATGCCTACAAAGTCTGTCATGGGTCGACGTGTATTCAGAAAACGACATGAACAAAGCCTTTAGTAAATTTCACGAAATGCTTTGTCTATTATATAATCTATGCTTTCCCAAAATTAAAGTCAAAATAGATAACATCAACAAACATAAACAAAATTGGATAACCAAAGGACTAAAACAAAGCTGTAAAACAAAAAGAAAATTGCGTTACCTATACTATAAAAATAAAAATTCTTATAATAAAATTACATATATAACGTATTCTAACTTACTAAAAAAGATTATCTACAATTCTAAAAAAAATGCTAATATTAAATTTATAAATAACAGTGATAATAAATGTAGAGCTACCTGGTCTGTAGTAAAAAACGAAGTTATAAATAATAATAAGAAAGATACCATAGATAGTATTAAATTAAATAATATAACAATTACAGATCCTGTGGAAATAGCATCAGCTTTTAACAACCACTACATCAATCTGACCGATGAATGATGACAACTTACATGACAAACACGGCAGTTGTAAAAATCAAGCCTCTATGTTTCTCACACCGGTATCATTGAATGAAGTTAGAATGGAAATTATGTCGTTAGTCAATACTAAATCTGAAGGTTATGATGAGTTAAGCACCAAAATAATAAAACTATGTAATGCTGAGCTTCTAGAAATATTAACTTATTTAATTAATTTGTCGTTTTCATCAGGAACTTTTCCCGAGTTATTAAAATATTCTATTATTAAACCACTTTTTAAAAAAGGGGAAAAAGGTCTCATTACTAATTACCGCCCCATTACCCTCATACCAATTCTATCAAAAATTTTCGAAAAGTGTATGTACAAAAAGCTTATCAACTTCTGTGACAAATATAATATCATTAGTAAAGATCAATATGGTTTCCAAAAACACAAATCTACTTCATTGGCAATATTTACTTTGATGAACACAATACTTACCAATATTAATAATAATAACTTAACCACTGGACTATTTTTTGACATGTCAAATGCCTTTGACTTAGTATCACATAACATACTAAAGCATAAACTGGAGGTATATGGTATAAGGGGTCTTGCTCACGATTGGATATCATCATATCTAAGCAACCGACAGCAGCGGGTTATGGTTACAAAATTAAGCAAAAATAGAATAATGACATCGTACACATCTGAATATAAACCTAATAAGTATGGGGTGCCCCAGGGTAGTATCTTGGGTCCCATATTATTTTTAATATACATTAATTCAATCACAGAGGTAACTAGTCAAAAGTGCATACTATTTGCCGATGATATTTCCATTGTAGTAACATCTGCTAAATCAATGTACACCATTAACGATCACGAAAAGGAAATAAATAACACAATTGATAAGTTAGTAAATTGGCTACATATAAATAATTTAAAAATTAATTTAGACAAATCCGTATACATACAGTTTAATAAATCCAATAACTACAAAAACAACTTTAAATTAAATATACAAAAAATCTGCGAAGTGGAACAAACGAAATTTCTGGGTGTAATTATAGACCAAGACATGAACTGGAAAGGTCATGTAGATCAGGTCTCCAAAAAAATTAACAAATTTGTTTACGCGCTTAAAAGCATAAAAAATGTAACGAACTTAAAAACGGCCATCATTGCATATCACGCCTACGTAGAGTCCATTATTAGATATGGTTTAATATTTTGGGGCAATGGCACGGACCAAAATAGGGTTTTTGTTACACAAAAAAAGTGCATTAGAGCCATGTACGGACTTAAACCTGACCAATCCTGTCAACCCGTATTTAAGGAACTTGGTTTATTACCCCTCCCATCACTTTACATATATGAAATTTGCATATTTGTTCATAAACACAAACATTTATTTAAGTCCATTAATGATTTAAATCAACGCAATAGAAGAGACCCAAATAGGCTCGTACTTAGTGATATACCCCGGCTTTCGAAATATGATAAAAGCTGTTTAGCTATGACAGTTAGGATTTACAATAAAGTACCTAGACAATTCAAACTGTTAAATTTAAGTAGGTTTAAAAATAAAATGTATAGTTGGTTGAATACTCATAATTTTTATAGTATTAAGGAATATATGGATCTCAAACTCTGAACCTTTATAGTTATTATCTCAATTTATCAAGGTATAAATTAAATTTGCATTATCCTAAGTGTTTTGTAAATAATGTTTAAGTGATTTATATAGGCAGTTAATTTAAGTTAGTCTAAGTAAATTTCTTCAATTAACCTAGATTATATAATATGTAACAAATATTTGCATGCTATGTAATAGCTAAACATGCTGAACTTTAATAATTGTAACATCTTATTCCACCATGTATTAATGCAAATAAAGATTATTATTATTATTATTATTATTTGTATGTCTTTACCAATCACGGGACCACAGGGTCCCGGTCATTTGGAAGGCGTACGAGGGGCCGGAGCCAACTGCGCAGAGGCCCTTTAGACAACTTTAATCTAAATGAAATGGGACACTAACCGGCGACTATCCCTGTATGCACTATGGAAATGCACCCAAGGACAGTCTCCGGTTAGTGTAGGACTATTGCGGATAATGGAAACAAGGGATAAGACTATGGGTGTGGGTTGTTATGGACTGGTATGATGGGAACTATGGAAGGACTATGGCACCTGCCGAAACAATGTAATAAATACACGTAAAAATGGCAGGTGGAGACTCGCCAACTCACCGACCGGGCCCCCGGGAATGGTTGCTAGTAATAGCAACAGAGGGACAACGGAAATGTGAGTGGCTGAAGGGTGAAGAAACTGCCACCAGCTTTCTACTCAGATCATCTGCATCTGCCTAAGCATCCTGCATCACTGGCCCACTCGCCGCTTACGAACAGCTTCCACCCTCCGAGCAGGATCACTACTCTCGCGACTCCACTCTGGACGGCCAATGAAGGCAAGCCAGAGGTGGGAGACCTGTTCCTCGTCATCGTCCACTTCGGCCAGCCAATGAAGGCAAGCCGGAGATGAGGAACGGTGACTTCTCCCTGGAGCAATCGGGATGATGGTAGCCCGCGGGATCGCTAATTCCCGTCACCTCGCCTCAAGGTGCCCTGCGGGCTTTATTATTATTATTATTAAATAGTTACCAGTTACAGTAGTGAAAAAAATAATAAAATAATATTTGTATCATTTAGTTATGTTGCCTGTATACAAAATGAATAGTTACTAAATAAATATTTTTATATTTATAAAAACAAAGACAAAAGTGAAACTACTGTTATTTTATTAATGTGAACCTATTGTCTGACTATTGTGTCTCAAATTACCACAATCGGAAGGTTGAACTACATACAAATTTAAAATTTATTTATTTATTGTTAAACATACACACTATCATTACAGTACTTATTGCCCTATACAATAGTGGTGTTTACTGTTATTACTACACAATACACAAACAAATTAGACATATAAAATATAATTAAACTTACAGCTACCACACAAAAGTAACTAACTCCTTTTATTTATTGAAATATAATGGTACACAGAATTACCCCAAACAACTTATCTGAAAAAAAAACAATCTGTATTTAATATGGTTTCAAATTATAAATCACAAATACTTTAAATGAGGGAAAGCCAAGCTTCGGCACAAATGGGTCCAGTGATACCACAGCCTCACAGTGATCCGACATGTGTTTCGCTATTAGCAAGGTTATCGGAACCCCAATCCTAAATCTGTGAAACCCAGCATCCTATAGGCTGGCAACATACTCGGGTGCCATGGGCGGCGCCTATTGCTTACTTTGGTGATAGTGATGATGATAATAGTTTTTTTTTGTGAGGGTAAAATCATCAAATGACTTCTCCCGCCCAGAGCCGGGCGGGAGGGAGTGTCAGACTCTTACTGACTAAAAACCCCCCTTTTCCTTCTCCGGCTCTGGGCCGAGATCGCGGTGCCTCATTGCGCTTACCCCGCAACCCCAGCTGAACATCAGCCCTTTAGGGCCCCGTCTGTGATGGTCTATTGGCTCTTTGAGGCGCGCGCAGATGATGGTGATGGTAAGGTGATGCTTCTGCTAGTTTACCGACCCATCACATAAAAAAACACTTTTAAACCTGCAGAACCAACAGGTATAAAATAGAGGTTTTATATTTAAATACACAGTGCCAGAATGTTAAGCTTACAAATATGTTGAACTTCCAACAAACAGAAACCATTTACTTATCAGAAATGAATAAGCAGGTGTTACCTGTTTGGGAATCATGAAGTTTTATCACTTACCTAAATTTTAAATACCTTAGTCAAATTAAGGATAAAAAGAACAACCTCATTCATAAAATTAAATTAAAATTTTTGTAACAACATTTCAGTCTTCCAGTCCCTTAGTTTGGTGTTAAGACACTTACCTACTAGAGGAGTTAGGTTAGTGAATAACACATATAATGGAATTGGTTTAGTTGAAGAATGGATAGGATAATGAGTTAATCTAAGAGGGTTCCACTTACCCTTTATGAGGGTGATAACACCAAATTAACTTACCTGATTAAAGTATTTTGTCAATCAAAAAACTTATTGAAGTCCTTCCGAAAAGCGGCGTAAAGAAAGAAACGCTCACCTTGGGTTTCGCCGCGTCAGTAAAGTTACTAGAGGACCAAACCTCCTTCACCCATTACCAATACCCAAATCAATGATCCCCAAAAGGCTGATCACACGGCTCCAGTTGCTTATTTTTAAGTACCTAGTCCGTCTGCCCCTTTGGCCATCTGTCCCAAAAAAAGCAGCTACATTCTTAAATAGACACAAAATTTTTAGACAACTCGTCGAAGCAAAAAAAGGAGCTAAAGTAATTTAACATTACTTTGCTCATCGGTCGGCAAACGAAACGTGACTTGATGGTAAGCATCGCCCATAGGCACCAAAGCAGTTACGAGTGCATTGCCGGTCTTTTGATAATTAGGTTTTCGGTTATTTAACGTTTGGGCAGGGATGGGGGAAGGGGAAGGACTGGGCCTCCGCTCACTCAGATGGCGAAACACAACACTATGGTCGTTTCACGCTGATTTTTGGTGAAGTTGTGGTATCAATCAAGTCGAGCCGACCCATTCCTGCCCAAGCAGCTTAGCTGTCCCTCCTAACATAATCCATAAACTTAGCCTACAAACTTGACATACTTATAGGAATCATGTTAAAAACTTCATAGGTATAGGTATATGCAACATTGTGCACACTAATTGAATTATACAAACTCCAATAAATAGCTTGTTGCAAAGAAACTGCAACATAATTTTCCTAATCGTTCGCTTGTTCGCTTACATAGGAATATCTATTAGATAATGATATTATCTACTACCTAACCTTATGACAAGTGTTTTCAGTTATAAATAATTGCCATTTAATCAGCTTATCTAAACAGTGAAGGGCATAATTTTATAAATTATTTACCATGGACAAAATAACTAAACAATATTCACATTTACTAAACTACAGTACTTATCTAACAGGGAAAATGTAGTGAATTTTAAACGAAAAAATAAAATGTCGACGTATTTAGATTCTGTGACTAAAAAATTTTCCGAAAACTTAAGCAATGTGCTAAACGCCGGGGCCATTCTTATAACTTTCTTCGAAACGTGTCTCTTTCCGTTGGCTATTTATAAATTGATAGTGGTTGTGACTAAATATGGCAGTGTGTTTACTTGGTGGAGGCGGACTGATGATGCGAAGAAGTCGGTTAAATCTCAGTTGAAGTATAAAATACAGTTACTTACGGTGGAGAAGTACGTTCTACCAGACTCTAAGAGAGTGGAGCAGATTTCTCATGTTAGTGTGATAATTGAAGAAGGGAATGTCCAGGTGAGCTAACCCATGCACAATCCTTGTAAGAAACTTTAAAAGGTTTATATTTAGACGATAGATTTATCTTTGAAGTGGAATGTAGCATCACGCAAATTATTTAATATAACCCCAATCGAACAATTAAGTACCACGATTGAAAGGTTAAATCGCATATAAATAAGTACCTAATATTTACTTACCAAGGGCTAATTTAAAATATTCCCTATTATAACATTCATAATGGTAACAGAAAAATTACAATTGTGGTAGTGATAAATTTAAATAACATTATTATTACATTAAATCGTAAAATTAATTATACTTATTAATTATTTAATCATAAATTAAATTGAAACTTTAGCCGTCTTCTTATTTAAAAATAAGGAGACGGCAATGTTTCAATTAAATTCAATGCAAAGCCGATCATCATAGTTGGATTAATTTAGTATTTTTGGCTTTTAATTTTGGCAGGCTATCAGAGAAAACATCGAAGCCACTATCAATAGCATAACTTAGCCATAATAACCTTTGCTCGAGTCATACCCTAACACAGGTTGTTTAAAAAAATTGCGGTGCTTTGTATTGTAAACCACTATTTAAGTGTTAACATGAAGATTTTGAAGTAGATATATTGCAAGTTGGAATCATTACTGCCTAAAAAAACCAAACACTGAAGAAGGTTGTCATTTGTTAAATCGATTGGCAACATAAGTGAAGCTACTTTTCAAGTAAGTTGGTGAATAAAATTCATCGGACTAACACATACGTTTATTTATTATATAATAATGAATAGCAAATTAATGTACGCCTCAAAGAGCCTCAAGAGCGGCCTGGAACAGGAGAAGAAACGCGGAGTGTTTTTTTTGTCAGTAATAATCTGACTCTCCTTCTCGCCTCACCCTAGGCGAGCGAGAGAAGTCATTTGATGATTTTCTCTCTTGGAAAAAAAGCGCATAACTCAAATAAAATCGGAAAATAGTAAGCGTGAAAACTGGCCACTAGCGCAGTATAGTGGTCCAAAAAAATAAGAATAAAAAAGTGACTAGTCCTACATTAAATAAGGTGAAGAAAAAGAAAACTACATTACCCGATAATAGATTTATATTCGCCTGCTTACAATAAAAGAAGTCTGCTTTCGATCCCAACACTATTAGATTATTTCTCAAAGCTAGACAAAAGAGTACGGTCTTATTTTTGCCGTAAATTCGTACTTTGAAAGTATAGGTTAGGTACCATCTATCTATGTAGGTTTTATGTAGCTAAAATTAATTCATACTTTTTTTTTATCAATGACCTATAAACCTTTTTAATAATAGGCTAACAAGGCAGTTGGTATCTTCTCTTATTTATCTTCGGAAAATACAATTTAAATTTAGATTAAGTAAGTGCTCCCTAATAACTTTATTTCCTGATTTATATTTTTTTCAAATAAATTTGGTCTGTACTATGCAACTTAAGAACTACAATGAAGAATTTTCTACTTACGTACAACCATAAAATTAGTTTACTTGACCACATCACTAACTCTATCTATCTATACGTAACTTTCTCACAAAGCACGCATCCACGCTGACCTCACCTTGATATGAAATGAGAACGATAACCGACCTACGCTACTAGACAGCAGAAGCAACCGGTCAAACTGCATTTTTATAAACATTAATTACACTAGAAAGGATCCAAAATAAACATTCTACGAAGGTACCAAAATAGGGACGTAATCTATACTAATATTGTCGGAGACAAATAATACTTCTTCTTGATAGTGATAAGTATTTTAATTAGGATAAATTTTAAATACAGGTTTACAAGGACAACGCGACACTGGCTTCGCTTAATATTAATTTCGTTAATTTTCGACCATGCTCTAGCGGCGTACGTAATGTTAGCAATGGCGGCGCGTCGCCTCGGCTGCCGCGCGCGCGGCTTGCGCCCGCGTCCCTCTCTCCACCCCCTCGCGTCCCATAGAGCCGGGCACACATCCGGTCGGTTTTAGTAACTTTTAGTGTGGGGCGCGAACATCCTCCCGGGGTTGAAAGGGTAACTTTCAAGCTTCTTTATTCTCGGCAGCATCCTTGTCATCATTGATCAGTGTCGTGTCTGCTGGGGCTGAACTTGGTAGGATGCACATTTTGTTCACAGCCCTTCGTACTATGCCTCTGGAAGATATGACATCGGCCACCCTGCTGACTCCATCCGTCCCAGGATACAAACGTGTGACACGGCCGAGTCTCCATTGCAGTGGGGGAACATTTTCTTCTTTTAGGATCACCAGATCACCCACACGAAGCTCATGCTGTCTAGTTTTCCATTTCGTGCGTTGCTGCAGCTCCGCTACGAACTCCCGGCGCCATCTTTGCCAGAAGTCTTGTCTGATTTTCTCTATAAGTTGGTAACGATTTGGACTCTTCGTATTAATAGGTGCCGACGGTAACGACGCGAGAGGTCGCCCGACAAGAAAATGCCCTGGGGTAAGCGGTGTAGGATCGGTAGGATCGGAAGATAGGGGAGACAGAGGACGGGAATTAAGTATGGCCTCGACTTGTGCTAATAACGTAGCAAGCTCCTCGAACGTCAAGGAAGCTTTACCGGCCTCGCGTTTTAAATGAAACTTTGCCGACTTGACTCCTGCCTCCCATATGCCCCCAAAGTGAGGCGAGTACGCCGGGCTAAATACGAATTTTATACCATTATCATTTGCGAAATTATCAGTACACTTACGATTGGACCTGAGCACTCTAGACATTTCGTTATTTGCGCCTCTGAAGTTAGTGCCATTATCGCAATAGATGACACTAGGTTTGCCTCTTCTTGATATGAACCTTTTTAAAGACAATATAAATGCATCAGAGCTCAAACTGCTTACTAATTCTAAATGAATCGCCTTAGTCGAGAGGCATACAAATAAACATAAATAACATTTTGAGGATTGACTTCCTCTACCCTTGCGACTTGAAATAGTAAAAGGACCAGCAAAATCTACACCGCATGTGTAGAAAGGAAACATTGAGTAAGTTCTTTCCGAAGGTAAGTTACCCATTATTGGTTGAATGGTTTTTCCTCGAAAGCGAGCACAGAGTAGACACTTCTTAGTCGTACTGCGAGCTAAATTTCTACCTCCTATGGCCCAAAATCGCTCTCTGATAGACGCTAGCAGATGTTGCGGTCCTGCATGAAATAAACGTTCATGTTCTTGCCTGAATAACAATTGAGTGAACTGATGTTTTGCATCTAAAATCATGGGGTGCTTCTTATCATAATCAAATTCTGAATTTTGAAGCCTACCACCAACTCTCAATATATTGTTGTCATCTAAGAAAGGATTCAACGACAATAATTTAGACTTACAATTAAGAGTTTTCTTATCACAAATTAATTTAATTTCGTCAGAGTAACTATCCAACTGACTTAACCTAACTAAAGTTAATAATGACTTATCTAATTCCTTAACATCTAATGGTTCACTAATTCTACTATTTTTATTTAAGCAATTATGTACAAAACGTTGCACATATGCATAGATCCTAATAAGTTTATTAAAGTTAGAATATTTTTCAAATTCAATTATGTTATTTACAATTGTGGTGTGACATTCAATGTTGGGTGGGATTTTAAGTTCTGGTAAACTAGGGATTTGTTGTTGTGTAGGCCAACAAGTAGGGTCATTAGCGAGGAACGAAGGCCCTGCCCACCAAAGGCTAGAAGCTTTTAACTGCTTGGGAGACACACCTCTAGAACCCATGTCTGCAGGGTTTTGATCAGTTGGTACATATCTAAAGTCGAATCCCGGTGTCAGTATATTTATTTCGTTCACTCTATTACAAACAAATACTTTAAGATCCCTGGGTGGAGTTTGCACCCATCCCAACACAACCATCGAATCAGACCATAGAACTTTTCGGGATATATTACATTGCAAGGAATCTAATACCTTAGAACATAGACGAGCCCCTAGGAGTGCGCCACACAACTCCAGCCTCGGTATAGTGGTTGGATTCATTGGGGCGACTCGTGCCTTAGCACACAACAACTTAACTGTTACTTTTCCAGTACAGTCTTCAGATCGCAAGTAGATACATGCCGCGTAGGCTTGTTGTGAGGCATCGACAAAACAATGTAGTTCTGTAGTTTTAGGATTGTCACATAAAACCCAACGTTCTATATTAATATCAGACAAATATGAAAATTCTTTCAAAAGGTTAGACCAATTCTTACAAAATTGAACTGGTACTGGGTCGTCCCAGTCCAGTTTAGCAGACCATAATTGTTGTAGTAAAATTTTAGGGACTATAATACAAGGGCTTAATAGTCCTAAAGGATCAAATACTTTGGCGGTAGTAGAGATTATTGACCGTTTGGTTATTTGAGCAGAATGCTGTAAATCTGTAGAAAATAGTAAATTATCAGACTTAGGACACCAAATAAGACCTAATACACTAGATTCTTTATTAAAATCTACAAATTTTGCTGTATTATCATCATTTTCAAATAAGCTAGGACAATTTGTTCTGAATTTTCTTAAAGGCAAGAGTGCTGAATCAAGAGTAGCAACAACTTCCCTATAAATATATTTTAAACCCTCTACAGTTTCGGATCCAGTATTTAAATCATCCACAAAAAAATCATTTTCAATGACACATGCTATAGACTTATCCTCACATTCTTTTGCTAACTGTAGTAGACATCGAGTGCTGAGAAATGGTGCAGACGCAGTACCATAAGTTACTGTGTTCAGCTGTAAGATATCTATCGGTTTTGTTTCGTCATCGCGCCATAATATTAGTTGTAGGTGGCGCTGCGGTTCCTTAATTTCAATCTGCCGAAACATCTTCTCTATATCTGCGGTGAGAACATATTTATGTTTACGAAAGCGAAGCAAAATTGATATTAAATCACTCTGTATAACTGGCCCGACCATCTGTATCTCATTAAGTGATTTTCCAGAACTAGTTTTACATGAGGCATTGAACACTACCCGCAGTTTAGTGGTTTCACTTTTTTCCCGTATTACTGCGTGG